CCCTTGCCCGCCAGCCCTCATCCGAATCGGATGTTGCGCCTCGGCCTGATCCCTGATCCCTCCTCCTCCCTCCCCCCTTCTCCTCCCCCTCCTCCTCCTCCTCCTCCTCCTCCTCCTCCTCCAGCTACCGCATGCATGTCATCCAGGACAAGCGCCCTTGCCACTTCGGGTGCAATCACCCGCTCGCCAAGGACAACATTCAGCACTACATGACGTGCGAACGCATGTGGCACCAGCTGAGCCTGCCCCGCGGCCAGCTGAACGCCGACCTCCTCACGCGCATGGCGCTCCCCGAGCTGTCGCACCCGTTCGACGGCGAGAACGGCATCCCGAACTCCGCCACGCGCCTCGCCGTCGCGACGCGGGCGTACCACCTCACCAAGGACCACCCCCTCCCGATCTCCTACCACAACCAGTACACGGCCTTCGCCGCCGCTCGCCGCGCACTCCAGCTCCCGGCTGACCTGAGCGGAGGTGCGGGCGCGCCGCGGCCGCGGCTCGGCTAAGCGCGGACGAACCTTCCTTCAAGGTTACGTTCGCTCCTCCTCCTCCTCCTCTTCCTCCTCGCCCTCGTCGTCCTCCTCCTTCTCCTCCTCCTCCTCCTCCTCCTCCTTATCCTCCTCCTCTTCCTCCTCTTCCTCCTCCTCCTCCTCCTCCTCCTCCTCCTCCCTTCTTCTCCCTCTCTCTTCCTCCCGCTTCCTCCCTCCCCCCCTCCTCTTCTTCCTCGTCCCTCCTCCCTCTCCCGTCCCTCTTTCCTCCCTCCTCCTCCCTCCTCCTCCCTCCCTCCTTCCCCCTTTTTTCCTTTTCGTCCCCCTTGTCTCCTCCCTCCTCCTGCCCCCCCTCCCTCCTCCCTTCCCCTTCCGTCCTCCCTCGTCGCTCCCGTTTGATACTTCAGCACCTTTTACTCAAGACTGGGGCCCTCGTTTCGCCATCGCCCCTGGGGGGTTTCCACGAGTCCTTGTTGAACCTTAGTAGATAGCAATCATTTTTGGAGAGCATAGATAATGCGGAGGGGAGAAGGAGGACGGATGACTTCCAGGGGCTTCAAGGATCAGGGTCTAAGGATTGACTTCAGGGATTTCTTGAACAGGGTGTGGAGGGGCAGGTGGCGGATGCGAGGATGGGAGCGGCAGCGCCTGGGGGCGTGAACGTTCAGGGTCACGCGCCGGGGCCGTAGAATGGTGGCGTAACAGTTCGAACGAGGAGTACGAACCATTTTGTTCTCGGAGGTGCTGCTGCTACCACTACTCCTCCTTCCTCCCCCTCCTCCCCCTCCTCCCTCCTCCTCCTCCTCCTCCTCCTCCTCCTCTCCCTCTTCCTCTCCCTCGTCTTCCCTCCCCTCCTCGTCCTCTTCCTCCTCCTCCGAGATGCGGGGCGTGCGCAAGGCGATTGCGAGGGCGATGTGCCGCCCGAGCTGTGGATGTCGAAGTTCGTTGAGGAAATATCGTACCCCGCATGCCAGAACAATCCCCCATGATGGGGTGTGGTATCCAGAAGGATGCGTGTGACATGTGGAAACATGGTGCATGATGGTAGACTGATTGTTGTTGTTGCTGTTGTTGCGTTTTTTGCTGCTGCTGCTCTTGTTGTTGTAGTTGTTGCCGTTTTCTTGTTGCTGTTGTTGTTGTTGTTGCCGTTTGTTATTGTTGTGGTGTTTGTTGCTGCTGCTGCTGCTGATGTTGCTGATGTTGCTGTAATAGTAGTAGTCGTAGTCGTAGTAGTAGTAGTAGAAGTAGTAGTAGTAGTAGTAGTAGTAGTAGTAGTAGTAGTAGTAGTAGTAGTAGTAGTAGTAGTAGTAGTAGTAGCAGTAGAAGTATAGTAGTAGTAGTAGTAGTAGTAGTAGTAGTAGTAGTAGTAGTAGTAGTAGTAGTAGTAGTAGTTAGTAGTAGTAGTAGTAGTAGTAGTAGTAGTAGTAGTAGTAGTAGTAGTAGTAGTAGTAGTAGTAGTTAGTAGTAGTAGTAGTAGTAGTCGTAGTCGTAGTCGTACTCGTAGTCGTAGTCGTAGTCGTAGTCGTAGTCGTAGTAGTAGTAGTAATAGTAGTAGTGGTAGTAGTAGTAGTAGAAGTAGTAGTAGTAGTAGTAGTAGTAGTAGTAGTAGTAGTAGTAGTAGTAGTAGTAGTAGTAGTAGTAGTAGTAGTAGTAGTAGTAGTAGTAGTAGTAGTAGTAGTAGTAGTAGTAGTAGTAGTAGTAGTAGTAGTAGTAGTAGTCGTCGTAGTAGTAGTAGTAGTAGCAGCAGCAGTAGTAGTAGTAGTAGTAGTAGTAGTAGTAGTAGTTGTTGTTGTTGTTGTGTTGTTGTTGTTGTTGCTGTTGCTGTTTTTGTTGTTGTTGTTGAAATTGCGGTTCTAAACGGTAGTTATAGCTGATGTCAGGTGGGCAATGGTGGCAGGCCCTGTCGCTGCTTCGCAGAAGTAGAAGGAGAAAGGGGGCTTAGAGCCAACAGTCATCATTTACACTGCTAGTAGCAGCGCGTGTGGAGAGACTGGGCGTTTGCGGCAGGCAGTGCCATTATCCAACGACATGAGAAGCGAGCGTAGAATCGAATGCCATTATATGCAACGCTGTGGCCAGTTCCTTCGAATAAAAGGCGGCCGGTGGCAGCGCGGCTCGTTATTGCTCACCGAACTGCCAGCAACGAACATGAAGCTTGATGTCATAGGCTGCAGCGCTGCAGACAGTGCATGCGGGAACGTTCCGCACCAGCAGCACGCGCTGTGGCTGCTCGGCGACATGAGGGATGCTAGAAAGCTAGAAAGGAGGTCAATGGCGCAATGGTGCGTGCGAGATCTGCGGACAGTGGCGGCAGTTGTTGAGGGAGGTGCTGGCGGGAAGAATGGAGCTGGAACTCACTAGCCACACTGTTGGAATCAGCATGTGCGAGCAAGGCGGGGCATGGGGGCAGGCGCTGTCGTTGCTGGATCGCTGGGTCGTGGGATCATTGGATCATCGTGGCTAAAGTGACGCAGTTCGCGTAATGAGACGTCTCGGAGAGCGGCGTGCTCGTTTAGTTGGATTGCTGGGTCGCCCGCAGCATCAGTAGTACTTGGGGAGCGGCAACAATTTCACACCTGATTGCCACACTCCTGTGGCGCGATGGAGGGCAGGATGGGGAGAAAGAGAGAGAGAGAGAGAGAGAGAGAGAGAGAGAAAGAGAGAGAGAGAGAGAGAGAAAGAGAGAGAGAGAGAGAGAGAGAAAGAGAGAGAGAGAGAGAAAAAGAGAAAGGGGAAGGAGTAGGGCATCGGTCTGTTGAAGGGAAGGGTGGTGTAGGCGTACATCTGTTGTTCCCCAGCAAAGCAGCCGACGTGCGCGAGACATGCGTTGAGTGGCGGCTCGCACCGTCGCTGTTCGAAGGGCCTCGCTGAGCGAGACCCGAGCAGAGCACTGTCAGCCATCGAGCTTGGATCTGGTCGTGTTGTGTCGATGCTCAGCGGGGAGTCCTAGGAACGATGTTGCAGGAGGATGGCTTGGAAAACGCATGGAACATTCGGTGCACTGAGATATTGTGTTCAGTATGCGGGGGTATTCTTGGCACTCAGTGCGCAGCGTGCGAACTGCAAGGGCACGATTTCGACGACGATCCAGACAACTCCAGGTACATGTGTGTTCGGCATGGGCTCGCAGGAAGAATCTCTGAACTTCTGAGGATCGTTGGTGACTTGTCGGCAGGGTGTAGGGAATCATGTCGCGCACGACGTCAACAACGAGGAGTTGCGCGAATCATCGAGCCCGTGAAAGCGATCTACTCGCTCCAAGCCCACTACTCAGCTTCAGATGCACATCGACCTGAGTCCAGGTGTCCACGCAGGTTGGCTGCAGCTTCAGTGTCAGCGCGCAAGAAGGGGTTGCAGCAGCTCCCCCTGGCTGATCCACTTCCCTCCGCCCCTCGGCTTGTTTCCGCCACCAGATCGTATCAGATCCAAAACATCGGGGTCGTACTTCGGGATCGCGAGGCCTCGAGAGGTGGCGGATATGGATCGTGTGCCCGCTCCCGGGGGCGCTACAGTGTCCACATCCACCGCTTCCCGGGGATGCAGGGCAGGATGCCAGTAGCAGTGGAAGGTGGATGCTTCCCGGCGGTGCACTCACTCCCTTCGCCCTCTTCCCCTTTCATATCCCCCCTGCTCCTCTCCTCTCCTCTCGCCCTCTCTGTTCCTCCCCCTTCCTTCCCCCTCTCCCCCCCTTCCCCCCATTCCCGCTCCCTCGGTCCTCGCCCTCGCCCTCGCCTATGGAGCTTCTCTTCCCCTCCCCCTTCCCCCTCCCCTCTGTTCTGCTTCTCCCTCCTCCCCCCTTCCTGCCGCTCTCATAGGCGGTGTGAGCAGAAGGGGGGAATGAGGATGGGGCCGCAAGACGAGAAATACACTTTTTTGGTCGGCGGGTCGAGAGCGAGCCTCCTCCTGTTAAGAGCTAGAAATCGAGAAAGACACAAGAAGGAGGAGGAGGATGAGCAGGAGGAGAAGGAGGAGAAGGAGGAGTCGGAGTTGGAGTCGGAATCAGAGTCGGAGGAGGAGGAGGAGGAGGAGGAGGCGGAGGTGGATGCGGAGGAGGAGGAGAAGGAGGAGGAGGGGGAGTAGGAGGAGGAGGAGGAGGAGGAGGAGGAGGAGGACGAGGCGGAGGAGGAGAAGAAGAAGAAGAAGAAGGAGGAGGAGGAGGAGGAGGAGGAAGAGGAGGAGGAGGAGGGGTAGGAGGAGGATGAGATGGACGACGGTAACGATGGCTGCGGCGGCGACCACCACACGTACGACGATGGCGGCGGCGGCGACGACGACGACGACGACGGAGCTGGCCTGCCTCGGAGCGCGTTCTGGCCAGGAATTCGAGGCGGATCCAGTCGTCGCCACGAGGGCGCCCCCGGAGGCCCAGAAAGGGCCAAGGGCAGGATCTCACGGCATGATCCTCCGACCCTCGAACGCTCGGTCCTCGGTCTTCGAACGCCCGAGCGCTGGATCCTCGATCCTCGGTCCTCGGCCCTCGGCCCCCGAAGCCGCGCCCGAGCCCGCCAGCAGGCCGCCGGGGCGGCCGAGGCCGAGGTGCGGACGCCGATCGCTGGCTGCCTCGCGCCGGCGGTGGCGCTGGACACGGAGGCTCCAGCGCTCCCCCGAAGAAAGGCATCGGCGCTCGACTGACATGCATACGGAAAGAAGGTGGGCGAGATCGGATGGCAGTCGGTGTCGCCGCGGACGTTGTCTCGCTGAGGCAGCACAGTCCCTGCCATACAGTGGCCGCTGCCGATTTTGGACAGCACCTGCTGTTGGGGAACATAATTTTTTTTCCATATCTGCTTCGGGCTTGCCAGAGAGAGTAAGTATGGGTAAAACGGAGTGTTAAACACACGAGCACTCATTCCGTCGCGGCTGCGCGCCAGGCTGACGGACACGACGCTGTTTTGCCAGAGCTGCGGCAGGGCCTCTTCGCCCCGCGGCTGGGACTGCGCGGGCCAATTCCCACCAGGGGGTCCCAGAAACCGAGCTTCGACGAGGATCGAACATGGAGGTGTTGGGTCGAGGTTGCTGGGCGTCTTGTTTTGTTTCGTGCTTCGCCGCAGGCCTCCGGAGATCCGTCGTCTTGGGCAGTCGAAGGGCCTTTGAGGGCCGTCTTGGGTCCCATGGGAGGCCATCTTGGGCCGTCTTGGTGCCGTCTCGGATGCCTCTTGGCCCCTCGTGGGGTCCTCTTCGGCCATCTTTGGACCCTCGTGGGGGCCTCTGGGGCCGTCTTGGGGCCATTGCCGTCTTGTACTGACGGAAGCCCGAAAAGGCGAGAATGCGAAATACCAGGAACACCGAAACGAACATTTTTGGCTTCTTCGGGCCCAGTTGGAGGTCCTCTTGTGGCCGTTTGGGGCTCCTCTCGGAGGCATCTTGGGTTGGCTTGAGGCCATAGTCGGTCGCCTCGGGACCATCTCTGCTTATCTTTGAGGCATCTCGGGCCATCTTGGCGTCTTTGGTTTCCTGCATGGCCCGTCTTGGAAACTCGGGACGCGGATCTATCGTTTTCAACGAAGGATCGTGGCTTCAGAAACGCGGATCCATAGATGCTGTACGAGGGATCGTGGCCTCGTGAGTGTGTGTGTGTGTGCACGCGAGACTCCGCTGGTAGAGGAGGGGGGTGTCCATGAAAAGGCTACAGAAACCCTACAGGGCAGCACTCCGCATTCTATCTTACACGCCCACATCGTGCAGGCACGGTGGCGGGTACCAGCGCGTTTGCGCAGCAGCCGCAGGTCAGCATGAAGGCCCTCCCGGCGCTGTGGCGAGACTCGAATTCTTCGGCCATGGCATGGCAGATCGCAGTCAACAGTAACACGACTCCAGTTGGCTGGCTTTTTGCGGCGACGACGACGACTCTTGGGGCCGTACGTACATCCTCCTAAGTCACTCGCGCCCTGGCGCCTAAGCCGCAGAGGTGCCCTTCTGCTGGGCCGCGGCCACTCTGACAGAGCGCTGTCGCTGCCCTTACACCACCTCCGCTGAAGCAGAGACATCAACCTTTCGATCCTTCGAGGGCGAAGCTCTCTTCTGGAGCGACCCACCTGTTGCACCGAGACGCCTCAACGCCGCTAACAACACGGCGCACGCGCTGACAGCCTCGGACCAGCAATCGAGACTGGGTGTGTTTTGGGGTGCGCCAGTCGTCCGCCTGGCCGCCGCCGCCTCTCGCGGGTCGTGGCCGCCGCCGCCGTTGCACCGTCGATAGTGACGACGAAGTTGTCGTCGTCGGAGGGGGCGGTCGTCGTCGTCGTCGTCGTCGTCGTCGTCGTCGTCGTCGTCGTCGTCGTCGTCATCGTTGTCGTCGTCGTCGTCGTCGTCGTCGTCGTCGTCGTCGTGTTTGCCTGCCTGTCGCTGTCCAGGCCCCCAACCCCGGCGCACCCCAGCTCTTGCGCCCCCGCGCCTGGCGGAGCCTGGCCGCGGACGCCGACGCCCCTGGGCCTGCCGCTGCGGCGGCGGCGGCGGCCGATGAGGCCTCTCGTCGTCGTCGCCGCCGCTGTCGCGTCGCCACCGTCGCCGTCACCGCCGTCACCGCCGTCGCCAGCGCCGCCGTCGTCGTCGCCGTCACCGCCGTCACCGCCGTCGCCGTCGTCGCCGTCGTCGTCGTCGTCGTCGTCGTCGTCGTCGTCGTCGTTTTTCGTTCCCCTGCGCTGAGGCCCCCGTGCCTGGCGGCGCCTCGGCGGGCGCCCCCGCAGCGGAGGCCCCCGCCAAGGCACCGGGCAATGCAGTCGTCGGCGTCGTCGTCGTCGTCGTCGTCGTCGTCGTCGTCGTCGTCGTCATTGGCGTCGGCGTCGGAGGAGGAATGGTTGGGGGCGGAGGATGAGATGAGGATGTGGTGGTGGAAGGGAGGTGCAGGGAGGAGGACGAGTAGGAGGAGGAGGAGGAGGAGGAGGAGGAGGAGGAGGAGGAGGAGGAGGAGGAGGACAAGGAGGATGAGGATGAGGAGCAGGAGGAGGAGGAGGATGAGGAGGAGGAGGAAGACGACACAATCGTAGGATTCAGGTTTGGTCACGTTAAAGAG